AGAAATACTTGGGACCTGACAAGTTTTGTTGATTAATAGCCAAAGCACTTGATTTGACATCTGGGTGCTTACAAATACAATTTCAACTCGATGACTATAAGGAAAGCATCTGATATATTTCATAAAATAGCAATGAGGTGTCTTAGTTTTTAAATATCATTATGACAAAGATGTAGGGAAAATTTGAAAATATATTTAGAAGAGGTGCCGGAGTGGCTCAGTGGGCTTGGCGTTTGACTTTGGCTCAGGTCATGATTGCACGGTTTTTTGGTTTGAGCTCCACATCGGGCTCTGTGCTGACAGCTTGGAGCTTGGAGCCTGGAGTCTGCTGCAGATTCCGTGTCTCCCTCCCTTCCCCGCTTGTGCCTCTCTCTCTCTCTCTCTCTCTCTCTCTCTCTTCTGCCTCTCTCTCTCTTCTGCCTCTCTCTCTCTCTCAAATAAACATAAAAAATTTTTAAAAAAGAAAGTATATTTAGAAGTGTAAAAAACCTACAACAAAACTACACTTTCCATTAGGTAAGTGGTCTGTTCTTTATAAGCTATTCATTCCAGGCACAGTTATGAGACCAGAAACTAGTATCAGTATGCCCCTCCCCACTTCTACAATGCTTAATTCAGTTTTGAACTTTAATTCAGAAGACCATTGATTATGTGTGTGTGTTTATGTGTGTGTGTGTGTATAATCATCTTTCTAAAACTACACACATTTGTAAAAACTTGCATATAAATAAAAAAGTGTGGTTGTATCATGTTTTAAACTTTTTAAAATAGAATATTCCAAATACACATAAAAGAAGACAGATTAGTATCCTGAACTCCCAGGTACCCACCGCCAGGTCCAGCATAAACCCATGGCTAATCCTGGCTCAGCCACACACACCTCCACCTCTCACACTATTATGGTATTTTGAAACAATTCCCAGACATCACATTATTTCATCCATTAATATTTCAGTAATTAATCTAAATAACAAGCATTCTTTTTTTTAATAACCCTAATACCATCATCACATCTGGAAAATTAATAATAATTACTTAATAGAATAAACTATTCCATTATCTAAATTGCTAATTGTCTCAGAAAAATTGCTTCAAATGGATTTATTGTTGTTTTAAAGTATGTTTCTTTGAATCAGGATCCTAGTAATTTCTATATATTGCATATGGTTATTACATCTTTTAGTCAATAGATTTCCTCTCCATGTGTTTTGTCTGTGCAATTTATTTCTATTAAATAAACCAAGTTATTTGTCCTTAGAATTGCCCACGTTGGTTTGCTGATAAGACCTCCAGGGTATAGTTTAATCTGTTTCCTCTATTCTCTATATTTCCTGTACATTGGTAATTAGATGTGAAAGCTCTATTAGATTGAAGATTTTTTGTTTTTGGTGCTTTTTGGAAGGGACTTTTCCTTAGTTGCCATTGTGCTGAATCATAGCATTCTCACTGTAATCTTTAAAAAAACCTTTTCCTTTTTCTCTTGCCTCATCATGTCTTTGCATCTATGCCACCTAACTACGGTGACCCATACTAACAAACCAATGCATATATCTCCATATTCTCTCCATGTTCACATAAATATCTTATTCACATGCAGATTCTCTGTTTGCTTTACAAAACTGAGATCTTGAAAAGCCTTCCAAGCCAAGTAGTAAAGCTCTAATTTGTTCTATTTAATGGCTCCAAAATAATACTCTGTGTGCACATCCACCACAGTTTACTCAGCCATCCTACTTCAGGTGGCAAATACTTTGTTCCTGTGATCCAAGATGGATCACATCTTGCTTATATATACATATATACTGGCTTTTGTTTTTGTAGGATGGATTTTGGAGAATGAGGTTGCTGGGTCAAAAAATATTATGTATATTTTATTTTAGTAGATGTTTCCAGAAAGCTTTCAAAAAAGGCTGTAGCGTTTCACATATCCACAGCAAAAGGTGAGCTCATCCTTTCCCCAACAATCTAAAATAGTCTTAAGGAGTGAAAAAAAATCATCACAAATAAGAGTCACATGTTGGGAGCCAGCAAGGAGCAGGCCGTTCAAGGAGAGGCAAACCTCTGTGGGATCTCCTAATCAGCATTCCGTGAGCTAATGGCAAGTGGTTCTTCAATAGAAAAGGCCCTATTCAACTTTATATCTCATGAACCTAATGCAGGCCTGGCACAGAACAGACAATACAAAATACCCCAAAACAGGCTCTGAAGGCAGTTATCTCTAACTGCTAAGAGTTACCTCTGACTCCTCTCCATTTCATGGATCCCAGTGAGTTCTTTCCTACAGTGTTACATTTTGCACAATATAATGTATCTGGCGTCTGCTCTTAATTTCATTTGTCATTAGCCATCTCAGCTAAGATTCTTGCGGGGGGTGGGGGAGTTGTCTTGGATTAGAAGAAACCAGGAAACTTGGCAAGATGATCATTCCTAAGTCATGGAACATTCGATTTTTTAATGCTCTATATGTGATGGTCACACCAAAAGGAGGACCCTCCTCCTTTCCTCTGTGCGAGTCACATTTTTCTTATTAAGCCTTCACTCATCTCTCTTGTTCCATCGCCTTTCCAGGACAATGCTCCCTAATATAATACTCCTCACCCCACCTTTCAAACCAAGACCTCTTGTTTGAGTAAGCTAAAAGGCTGTGTGTTCTGAAAATAAGATCTTTCTTCAAAGAATCTACTAAATGTTCTCACAATTCAGTCCTTAACTATTAGTATCTGTAAGGGTTTTACAGAGGAGAGAAACAAAAGATGAGCCCAGCTTCATCTTACAATGGGGAGTCCGGAAATGTCTAATGAGTAACAAAGCTCCTAGTTTTGACCAAGCCTTGCTATGCATTTCTGGGCAGCATTTGCAGTTAAGCTGCTCGAATGTCAAAGGCATTGTTGGTATAAAAAGGGGAATCTCTATACTGGAAATAAGAGCACTGTCTGTTGACAAAAGGAGGAAGTAGACATTACAAAGTATACTTTTAAAAATGTGAAAACATAATACCAATTCATAGTTATTCACGAAGACACAGTCCACTGAGAGTGACCTTGGAGAAGGGATTATACTGTGCCAGGAAGGGGAAGGCCAACATGCACTCTCCATAAACAGCCTCGCCCTCCTGGCCATCCTTATCAGAGTGACACCAGCCATACTCAGGAGCTGGATCCACCACAGCCTGCAGTGCTGGGGTAAGTGATTATGTCTGGCTTGGACCCCAGCATGGTGCAGTTGGAGGAACCCTGATATATGTCACCAGAGACAGCCTTGAATCTGAACATTCTCCTTGTGTTTTGGTGTCTGGAAATGTGGAGAAGGCACCGTTTGGCAGAAATTGGGGGAAATATGGGAGACAAAGATTAAGAAGAAAAAGGACAGTCATATGTTTAGTGTTTTGTCAATGGCAGTACCTATAAAATTACAGTCCAATTATCAACACTGAATACATTTAAATGAAATCCACAGTGCAGTCTTATGCTTTATAAAGGAACTAGGGAAAAAACAGAATGGCCATTAGTTCTGTATTTTTTACATCATCTTCGACAACCAGAAGTCTAACTAATGTAGAGAGAGTGCTGAACAAAGTAGTATTTTCATAGGTTGCCTTGTTAAGGAATAGAATGAAAGGAAATTTAGCTCTTAAGATGTGAATCTGGATGTAGATATGGTTATAGTCCAGATAAGGCACTGCTGACAAATGATTCCATTGCTTAAATCCCTATAAGGGGCCATTTGACAAGGGAAGAAACACACCACTGTCATAGCCTTTTCTTTCCCCTTTTCCCTTCTCTCCTACATGACCACCCAGGTGTTTATGGCTCGTTCCGTCTCTCAGTGACAATAACTTGCTCACAGAAAGGATCTGATATTAATTATTTATATTTTTTTCATGTGGATCTAAGTCAATGTATTATTTCTCTAAGGGATTTTCTATCTAAGCCTTACTTTGACTTGCAGAATGTTAAAGGGGAAGAAGTGTATTTGGCATATTTGGGGCATGCTACATCTTTACCTGTGTAAATTTCAGTCTTGGTTTTTGGTTCTTTTGGAGAAAAAAACATCCCCATTTAATTTATAGGGTAACAGCAGTGTCCAAGCTCTACCTAAACAGATATGTTCATTCATTTGCTCATCGCAGCTAAACCAAAACACAACAACAACAACAACAATAACAAAAAACTGCACTTTCAAAGAGAGAAGACAGAAGCCTGGGCAATCTGAGACATAAAGCAATAAATTGTTATATAGGGAAAATGAAAGTAAACAATAGGTGGAGTTTGCACCTGGCTATGTGCCTAAAGTGGGAGGTGGTAGCCTGGGGGATAGGGAGTCGCATATTAGCATTATCTCTTCCTTCCCTTGTCCTCTGCAGCCTCAATATTTTTCATTGCAGGTCAATTGTGATAAACTCTGAAACAGAACAACTCTGGGAAGGAAAGGGGCATCCTTTCCTATTCTCAGTGATCTTAGTCCCAGAAATCACTTCAGTAAGATCTCCTCAATGTACCTTAAGACTCGTAAATAAATACGGAACCTGATTTCATTAAATTATTTTGATCTCCTTGCTCATCGGTGTTTTAAAAAAATGATGAAAATTATCATCAGAGACTGGTGTCCCTTACCTACTCTCTTGGGAAGCAAAGAGTACTAAATTAGCAAAGACATGTTAACAGGAAGAAAAAAAAACCTAGAGATTATGAACGGTAATCATAATTCAAAATTAAATGATTAAAACAATGCACCGACGGTTTACAAAATGTTTTCATGTTATTTCAACCACTGAATTTGGTCAAGAGATTGCATTCAGTGTTAAAGGAATGTTATTGATCATTTTTAAGCCCCTTCTGAAAGTTGCTAAATTTAATTTACTGAATATACTACCAATTCCTTCGAAAACACATGACCCCCAGCTTCTTCTTCCTTCATCCACTGAAGAGAGATTTAGTCATCAGTCAGTGTCATACAAGAGTGACTCAGAGTCAGGTGGGAAGCTGAGGACTCCTCACATATCTATGTACTCAGAACTTGACGAAAGCCTGGCCATCACCACCTCCAGAGGATCAGTGTGGTCTGGTGGCTCAATCCTTCCTTCCTCAGCACAGCGGGCAGACAGCACTTGGCCCAGTCAGTCCACAACAGCTCCTGCACCCCAGTTCACCCTCACTAAGGTAACCGCTGACTGAATTCTGTCATTTGTCCCTTCATTTCTCATGTCACTCCTCAAACTGCCTTTGACTTTCCTCACTCTTATAAAATTAACTGAGTTGTTTTTTATGCTATAAAATAATAATAATAATAATAGTAATAATAATAATAGCAATGTTAGAAAGCTGTGATGGACCCTGAGTGCATCTTACCATAAAAGTAATCCCAATGTCACCCAGATCCTTGCCTTAAACTCTCCCACGTCTCTGCTTGAATGTTCTTTGGCATCCTAGAGCTATAATCAAATTTATATCTAGTTATTCTTTCTGCGCCTATTTGACAACATCTGTAAAACTTACAAGTAACTGGAAACTGGTTGGGGGAGGGGCTCCAAAAAGAGTAGGAATCTTAGCTGAGTTTCTTACTGGAACAACAGATTTGCAACCTATAGGTCTGATCTGTTTGTCAACCTGCTTTGCTGATATTCTCAGATGTCACTTGAGCCGAATGCACACATGCACATAAAAGCGGGTGAGAAAAACACCTTCTAGGTCAGAAGGAAGCAGGGAACTTCTGCACAGTGCATATTTGATTCCTGATACTAAGATGACAGCTGTAAACTTGCTTCAGATATTTATTCTTCATTTTATGATCCTGTGCCTGGCATTCTACCTGGAAAACATTGAGCTTTTCCCCCAGTCCGAGTCTATTTTCACTTTGACTCCCAACATGCAACAGGTAAGGGAGAAAGTCAACTTAGTGGTTTCACTGCCGCTTAATCTTGGCAGCCCTTGTTAAAGGCTTTATGATTACAATGGTGGTGTTACGCACTCTCTAAGTGGGTTAATTTTTAGCAGTTGAGGAAAAAGCTTAACTGAAACATGTATTTAGATTAAAAATCAGCTTAAGTTTGTATAAATCGTGTTAAAATGTCCCCCTATCCTACTAGCCCCAGGTAAGGATTGTGCTTTATCTTTTTTTTTTTTATTTCTTTTTTTACTTTTTAATGTCTATTTTATTTTTGAGAGAGAGACACACACAGAAAGAGAGACAGAGAGCAAGCAGGGGAGGGTCAGAGAGAAAAGGAGACATAGAATCTGAAGCAGGCTCCAGGCTTTGAGCTGTCAGCACAGAGCCTGATGCCGGGCTCCAATTCATGAGCCATGAGATCATGACCTAGCAGAAGCTAGACACTTAACCAACTGAGCCACCCAGGTACCTCATGTTTTATTTATCTTAGTATTCTTCAGCATATGTGAGATGCTCTAAGAATATCCTTGGCTAGATGCTGCATAGAATGGAATTTAAGTGCTGTTCTTCATGTTTTTGGGATTTGAAAAGTGTGCCCAGTTTTTAGAACAAATCCCAACGTTTAAATACAAGAAAAACACCATTATCTCATACATTTCAGATGATGAAAGGGGGAATTGATCTTAAAACCCTTATAACAAATGTCACTTTCTTAAGGTACAGACTTTTAAAACACACCTTTCCTTCTGCTCAAAAATAACTGTGTACGAAAGAAACCCACTGCAGTTTTGAACACATTTTCTGTATCTATATGTAACATTCTCTCCATATTCTAAGGTTTCTTTGAAGCCTTATAATGATAAACTAAATCATATACAATATACATTCTCTTAAGTAAAGCAACCATGGCTTTAGCAATAATTCTTAACCCCCCAGTACTGTCAGGAAGCATACTGGCAAAGCAATCAACCTAGACGGAACTGGGGATAATTAATTAATTAATAATTGTAGATGTTATGATAAATAATGAAAAGGTTTTGAGAAAAGGCAAAAGAAAACCAGAGATACTTTCATCCTTAGAACTAAAAATGCCAAATGTACACCCAACAGGCCCTCCCTACATTGAGTGGCTGCCATACTTCTAGGAGACTGAATGAATGAATGAGTCTGCAAAGAAAGCATGTACTCCTCCACATCTCACTGGTTCCACCACACAAAGTACACCCAAGGTACACAAGATACTTCCCTCCTGGAGGAAGCAGGATTCAAGGGAAATGTCACTGTCAAAGGAGCGTCTTAATTCCATTGAGTGAGGGAACTTAATGTTTCCATGATGAGGAATACCTCAATTATATCATCATCACCGTCATCATTGTTATTATTTTAATCAGACCTCAAAGAAGCATTTGTTACTTAATGTAAGCATATTTCATATAGGATCTCTTGGCTTCACTTAAAAATTTTTCCTTAGATTTCTGGGTGCCCAACTTGAACATTTTTTTCACAGAAACATAATTCATTAGTCATGAATTAGTTTGTGTCATTAGATCAAAACATTTAGTTTTCTTAAGAGCAGAGCAGAAATCTGTGAAAAGTCACTTGAGTTGAAAACAAACAAACAAACAGAATTTCTTAATTCAATGAAAAGGTCAAGATAAAAAGGAATGCTGTACACTTAACTAGGTTAACAATCTTTAAATGTACTAAGGACATGCATGTCCAGAATGCCACTGACATTACGAAAGCTGTACAAGAGAACTTCAAAAAGAAAATATTTAAGAAAGCTACTGCTAAATGCTCTCTATTTGATATTTTTTAATGAACAACTTAGTTGTTGATTCAACTTAGGCCATGATTGCAACAAATTGAAGGTAAATTAAAATTCTACAAATTCCTATCAATCAGCGTGATTGACTAGTTTCAGTATTGCTTTGTAAAGCAAAGCCCTCCATAGAGTTATGTAGAAATGACACCAAATCTTGTTGGAGGAAATATTTAAAAAGAATTCTATGTTTCTTATGAAAAGTATTGCTCACAATGACGTTGAGACATTATTCTCAGTTCTTTTGTTTATTTTTAATTGTCATTTAATTTTAAGGGGCAGAGGGAAGATAAGTAAGAGAAGTGAAATCAAAAGATCTAATTTTGGACATTTTACTAGGAAAAGAAACCCAGGTATAGAAAGTTTAAAGGAAAAAAAAGCAGAAGTAAGCAAGGACAGAAATCAAGCTGCAATATTTTTCTATAGCTGACAAACTTGCTTACACTTAACCATTTTGCATGGTAGATGAAGACACAATTAGTTCTCCTTTCTTGGTTCCTTTTGAATCTCTGTAGTCAAGAATTTTGATAAAGCATTTTCATTCCTCCTACTAACTGATAATGTGCTAATTCCTTTGCACTTCTTCCTTCTCCTTCCCCGCAGTCTAGGAGTTCAGATATCAGAATTTTAGCTCTCGCCACTCTCTGGCTGATGACTTCATGTATGATACCTACTCTACCTAGCTCGCAAAAATATTTTGACAATTAAATGAGATAAATATTATTTGAACACTTTTCAAAAATTCTTAAAGTTCTCTAAATTGGAAGTGTGATTATTCTATTGCTATTATTAACCTTTTGCCTGATGATTCAGAGGGCTCAAAGACTAATCCAACTATCACCAGAACCCTGGGCTTAGAGTTGAAACTTTTTCCTTCTTTTCTCCCTTCTCTCCTTCCACAGCACTTATTTACCTAATGCCAAGTAGCATGCAAGACACAGCCCAGACTCCCAGAGCTGAGTGGGCATCCAGACAGCAGTGTGGCAGCGGACTGAAGCATGAATAGCCAAATCAAAGTGGCCAGGGTATCAGTCCCCAGAACAGCACTATGACTGCATCTTGAGCCAATTAACGTGCATTTCTGAATTTGCTTCTTTCTCTATAAAATGGAGATAATGTTACTGTAAGGTTTAAATAAGATAGGAGCGCCTGGGTGGCTCAGTTGGTTAAGTCTCTGACTTCAGATCAGGTCATGATCTCGCAGCTTGTTAGTTCAAGCCCTGTGTCAGGCTCTGTGCTGACAGCTCAGAGCCTGGAGCCTAATTTGGGTTCCGTGTCTCCCTCTCTCTGCCTCTCCCCGGCTCATGCTCTGTCTCTCTCTCTCTCTCAAAATAAACATTAAAAATTTTTTTAAATAAATAAGATAAATATTTATAGATGCTACCAGAGGGCCTGGAATACAGCAAGCACTCAATAAACCATAGCAGTTACTACCATTACTACCTGACTTGGTGAACCAGGAATCCAAGTATCATGGTGTTTCTAGTACCATATTCTGAATTCTGTAGAATCAACTGACAACCTCCCAGAAGGGCTTCCACAGAGGAACCCATAGTGGCCCAAATTCAAAAGTCTTAGCCGGAATTGAGGCCTCGCAAATACTGGAAGTGCTAACCTGGTAATTTCTAAATTTGGCTTTCTTTACTGCCTCTAACCTCCTGATAACAAAAAGGCACTTTTTCTAAATCATAGAAACTAATGCTTACAGTAGCAGGATGTGGGTCATATTTTATAAGTAACAAAACTTCTCTGGTAAGGCCATTAAAGATAAGTAAATAAATTCTCATCAATGTGGCACCACCAAAGAACTAATGACTGAGTTTCTGGAAAAGCAGTTCTGAGGCTGTGAAGTTCTGGACCCATAAGGCAAGGAAGCTCTAGACCAGTGATTCTCAACTGGAAGTAGTTTTGTCCCCCAGGGGACATCTGGCAGTGTCTGAAGACATTTTTTTGTTGTCACAACTGGGGAGGGGATGCTTCTAGCATGTAGGGGATCGAGGCTAGGGGTGCTGCTAAACATCCTGCAATACACAGGACAGACCCCCAGCAAATACTTATTTGACCCAAAATAGCAAAACTACCAGGGGTGAGAAACGCATGCTGAAATATAAGCAATACATAGAGCAGACCTTTCCACTTGAGTGTGATTGATCCTGCCATAGTGGTAAGATTCTGCCTATATAGCAGGCATTTAGTCACTGTTTTATGAGGTACTCTCCAACGGAAAAGTTATTATTTCCATTTTGCAGATAGGAAAACGGAGGCTAAGAAAATGTAAATAATTTACCCAAAGACCTCTGATGATAGAGGAGCTGGCACTGGGCCTCTACCTGTCTGATTTTGAGACCTGGGTTCCTAATCCCTGCCCTACTGTGGTGTGTGTCTGTGTGTGTGTCTGTGTGTACGTGTGTGTGGCCTCAGTCCTTGCTTCCCACTTTTATTCTTACTAGC